ATAGTCAGGTTTCTGCTTAAGGTACTTGTCAGACAGACTTGCAAGGAGGAGAAGGTCAGGGGAGAGTCATGGGAAGAAAGAGGTATAAATGGTATGTTGGCCTGCTCAATTAAGCCTGTGAATCTTGAAGCCATGAAGCCCTCACCCAGAGCCAAGGTTAATGGAAAAGCTGGTCCCTAAGCGATTACGCAGGGGTGGGGCTAAATGGGCAAGTGGTTTAGTGATGCCCTTTTGGCAGACAATTAAACTCTGTGTCTTCAAACTTAAAAAAGGAAGTGGACTTCAAATCAGTCGTGGTAGTGCCAGGCTTTAAGATTGGACATGGGGGGTGGGGGTGGGAATGAAGGAACAGATTACTAATCTGAAGCGAGGAATGAGAGAGACCACGGTTAGGAGAAACCAAAGGGTGTATAAATTGTCTCACATGATGGGGCAAAGACAAGGCTATCAAAGACAGAGGAAAGGGAAGATGGTCCAAGCAAGGCACTGAGTTATGCTTCTTACTCTTTTGATATTGAATTCTTTAATGTCTCTATCATTATTGAGCTTTTGCTGGGCCTTAGGCCCTGAGCTAGAAATAAGAACATGGAAGTAAGGCAGCCGCCTAGGAGTTAGCATGTCATAGATGAAGAGAAGCAAATAAAGAAATAATTAAAATTTACATATTAGAAAGAGTATCACAAAAGATCAAACATGAGATGTGGTGAGGCTGTCTGTAGGAAGCTATCTCGGCAGGAGGAGTGAGCCTAGGAAATACTACATAGAGCCCATGTTGAGGAATGACTAGGTTTGGCCAGCAGAGAGTAAATAAAGGCATGGAGATCTGACGGAGGTGATTGTAGCAACTGTAAATTCCTGTTACACGGCCAGGGTGTGTTTGGTACAAGTCAGAAAGAGGCATGGAATAGCCACAGAGATAATGCCAGAAATGTGTTCTTGGGTCAAGCCAATCGGGACCTCATATTCCACATTAAGGAGTTTGAGGTTTGTCCAGACAGCCAAACATAAGGAAGCCTTTGAGTGACCCTAAGCAAAACAGAGACATGATCACATTTTCATATTTGAAAAGAAAATCACCCCGGTGTCTATGGACTAGAATCTGAACTCCTCCTTCTGTACCCTATGCTCCAGGGAATTATTCAGATATGTCTTCTCCTCTTCCAAGCACACACCCTTAGGGAGATCTGGTGATATCTGTACCGTTGATAGTGCCAGGGCTATACCCAGTTCTCAACCTATACCCATGTGATTTATCAACCCCAAATCTAATCTGTTCCTAAAGTGAGAGATAAACTCTGGCGTACAGCTACACGGTGTCAAATAAGTGCCTACCCATTGCAGGCTGACCTTAGCATCTGTATGTCTCAGTTCCCAGGTAAATCCAGGATGTCCTTGCAGGGCTACAGAGGTTCAGTTAGTGTATGAAGTCCCTAGGAAAAGGTCTAGAACATTCGCTGGCATCAGTAGAAGTCCGTCACTCTAATCCTCTTCGGCACTCGTAGCTCCTGCTTGGCAAGACCCAGGTTAGGCCTCAGCTCCTTACTGAACACTCATTGGCCTTCTCCAGGCACGTGCAGCTTTTCGTTCTAACACGCATATGTAATAATTATATAGAGTACATATGTACCATTTTCTCAGTATAAAAACACTATCCAAGCATTTGTGATACAGGAGTGAACAGCCTTCCCTGGATCACTTCTGCTTTAGTGTTAACTGGACTCAATAACTCAACTTTAAGAATTTCAGGAGTAAAGACTTTGTGTGGATGATAGCACATCAACTGGAAAAGAAAGAAGAGGGTGGATTTGGCCAATAATGCATCACATCTGTGCACGGCACTTTCAAAGCATGAAGAAAGAACAAATACTTTCTGCCTCTAGAAAACGGTTCTCGTCACAGAAGAGACAGAAGTGCGGACTCTGTTGACTAGGGTTGATAAGCGGGCTAGGACTGCATAGCATGCGTTGAAGGTCTAACCACTGCAAGTCTACAGTGTATATCTCTCCTCAGAATTATCCATCACTAAATAAAACCAATTCTATATAGAGTTGGGTTTCTCACACTTAATGATTCTTCCTTTTTTTATTTAGATGGGACATCTTGGGAGCTGTCATTGGTGCAGAATGTGGAACCATAGAATCAGGTCTGTCTCTGGTGTTCCTCAAAGATGGAGAAAGGAAACTATGCACTCCCTACATGGATACAACTGGTTATGGAAACCTGAGGTTCTATTTCGTCATGGGTAGGTACAGACTGCTGCCCTTCCCTACAGAAATAATAGGGCTTATTATTTACCATGTAACATAAAAATTAGTGGGATCTGAGCTCTCCTGTTAAAATAAAGACCTAGAGTACCCACCTCTACCTCAGTACTTAATCTAAGATAGTTTGTGCATTCAAAAATCTAGGCATGATTTCCTTTAAGTAATATTTAAACTATTTCTCACTTCATTAAAAGTAACATATAGAAAAGTTTAGTAATAAAAGTTATAATAAATATTTTATAGGTCATTCTAGTTTATCTATCTTTACCCTCCTGATAAAATGTATTTGAAACTGGGATTTCAATAGTAAATCAGTATAGTAAATCAGCCCGTATTGTTTGTGCCATCTTGTAGAGAAGGACATCCTTGACATACCATGACTAGGCCAACGACAAACAGCCATATTGCCTTTCTCTCACCTCCATTCCGTGCTCTCAGCAGCAATGGTGCATGAACTAACAGTTATTAAAAAGAAACGAGGCCATGAATTTGAAGGAGAGTACGGGAGAGTATGTGGGAAGCTTTGGGGAAAGAAATGTTTTGATTTTGAATACATTCTCAAAAATAAAGATTCATTTTTTTAAAAAAATGACAATGGGAAGGAAGCAGAGGCCAAGGTGACCCTTTGTCCTCAGCCAGTAACCTCACCACTCATCAAGGTGAGCCATTTATTTTCATGGGTATCTTGTTATTACCCAACGCTACTGTTCTGGGAAGCAGGAAGGGAAAATAGTTTATAGCGCTCCATCATGTTTTACAATACTTTCTATTTCCAGTCAGCTTAAAAACACATAAAAGTGTTCATAAAACATGCTCAAGTATATTATAGATAGAAATAAAGATGGGAAAATATCACAGGTAAATTAGGGGCTTGAAATTTGTGGCCTGCCAGATGTGTCCCACTAGTCAACATTGACTCAGTGACATAGTTTTCACTGATGTCAGCCCTACCACACACTTTCTTTGTAGAATGGAAAAGCGCAAGCAACATCTGGAAATGAAACAGGAAATAAACATTGTCTACCTTTGACCTTAGCAGCAGAGATGTCAGTTCATCAGGGCTGAATGTCCTGAGCCTAGGACTCAGAGTTACTGTTTATCCCTTACATTCCTCACTCAGTCAGGAATGACTTCTCGACAGTCATACGGCTCAAAGTTGCATGAGATAGACCTCAAGACCGTCATGAGACAGACCTTAGTGCCATCATGGTTGTAAGCATATTGCCCATGTGATGCTCCCAACAGCACTTTGTCCACAAAGGAGAAGTCATAGGTCTATAGTGATGTAATCTGAAAGTTTCCTTACTCTAAAATAGTTTTTGCATTTAAATATCTAGACCTCATTTTCTTTAAATCATATTCAAACTGCCTCTCATTTTATTAAAAGTAATTTCTAGAAAATATTTGTAATACAAAGTTGTCATATTTACTCTGCCATTCAAGTTTGCTTTCCTGTCTTTACCCTCCTGATAAAATGTATTTGAAATTACACTTACAATAGTAAGGGAACCCATCTATTAAAGATTAACTTGTCATTAAGTTAATTCCTTTAGAGAGAGCTTATGTGTGGGATAGTAAGTCAATTTTAGTTCTTCTCATAACAAAATTGATTATTAACTAATGAATTAAAATAGTGTTGACTAAGCCCAAAATTTTAATTTTAGTAAACCCAAAGAAGTACATCATCGTAAATAAAAGGAACTCCATTCAGGAAAAATTAAGACATACAAATTGAATACAAATCCAGGTAGGACACGTAGACATAGAGACAGTGGAAGGCCATGCTACCCCGGTCACAGTTGCTGGTTGAATGAGTTAACACATAAAAGCATTCAAATGCTGCCCCACAAACTCTGCCTCTGCCTGTTACTGCTTTACAAGTGACTCAGAGTCTGTGACCACAAGTGACGTCTAACTGTGTGTGGGGAGAAGGCAGCAGGCTTTGATGGAGCAATGAGAAAGGGCAGAGAGAGCTGAGGATGGCTGCCATTCACGGGGAAGGCTTCATAAAGGATACGGCATTGGACCAATCCTTGAAGGCCAGGCAGGACTTCCTTTCCAAGAAAGAATCTCAGACTAACCATTCTGAATAAAGGCCATTTAAAAAAAAATCAAAGTGTGTGATCCATCCCAGCTGGCTAGTTTTCCCGAGGTATTAGCAGAAACGTGTCGAACTTTGCTCTTTCTCTCGCTGCCATGTCAAAGGATCCTTGCTAGGACAACATTACCTGCTTTTATAGTGAGATAATTCCATCAAGAGTATGAAGGAAAGACAAATAATCAGAAACCAGGAAACAAGACACTGGTTAGATCAGTGGAGTCGAATTCCACCCCCCAAAAGAAAGAAAGTTAGAACAGAATGCTTTATAGCTTAGTTAAACTTGTAGTCGTGTTTAGAATTTATGATGGACAATATTTCTAAGTACTAAATAAAAATATTAACAAAATTTTGGTAAATGCTTCCCTTTCCATGTGGTATATTTTGTCTGGCAACTCTGGTAAGTGTCTCGTGTGCTAATCAATGCAACGGAAGAATGAGTCAGTGCTAAGTGATATTGGCAATAAGGGACCAAGGCAAGACACCTTCAGAGACAGAAACAATATGACTTTCTCTCTGGGGGAATGGCACCTGGTTTTCAAAGAGGTGGGTATGCAGAAGAATTTAGTGTTTGACATGGTAAGACTGGGATTTCTAGAATACCAATAAGATCGAAATTCTCTTCACAGTTTTGAGCACATTTGAAAACCATCCCTGTACTGCTCCTCAATGAATGAGTGCTGAATAAAGAAAATGGGCTTTTGAGAGTGGAACTAAGTTTTCCAGTCATGAAACTTTTAGGGAAAATCTTTTGCCAGTGAAGGGAGAAGGAAGAAGGAATCGAGACTGTAAAGGAGCATAAAGAGGAGAAAGGAGGCAGGCGGGAGAGGGAAGAGGCTCCCATGGGATTATAGAGTGATCTGCTGTGCAGGAAATGCCCTGGAGGGTGAAACTAGCCAGACTGAAGACTGAGAAGTCATGGGTAGCTTTTGAGAGGGCATGCCCATGTAGTGGCAAGAACACCAAAGTGTGTAGAATTAGCTAGAAAGGTATGCATCACTGAGACAGGGTCACTCCTTCAAGAATTTCATCAGAGATAAACAAACCTGGAGTCAAGATCTTGAGAAAGCAGAATCAAGAAAAGCTGGTTTTTAGGATAAGATAAAGCTGAACCTATAGAAAAGATTCCTCAAAAAGAAAATAAAAGCAATATGAGAAGGAACTTGGTGTGAGTTTATAAGTAGCCCTCAGTGTTGTCTGAGATTTCTGTCCTGCCCAGTTCTCACAGTCGTTAAGTACCAAAGAAATTGCACAGAGGTCTACATTAATTATAAACTGATTGGCCCATTAGTTCATGCTTCTTATTAACTCTTACAACTTATGTTAGCCCATTATTCTTGTCTATGTTAGCCACATGGCTCGGTACTTTATTTGGCGGGGCGGTCACATCTTACTCCTTCTGTGGCTGGGTCATGTCATGAAACTCTTAGGGAAAATCTTTTGCCAGTGGAAGGAGAAGGAAAAGGGAATCAAGACTATAAACAAGCATGAGGAGAAAAAGAGAGGAGGCAGGCAGAAAAGGGAAGGACTTTCTTCTTCCCAGAATTCTCCTGTTCTCATTGACCCGCCTCTACTTCCTGTCTGGTTGTGCCACCTATACTTCCTGCCTGGCTACTGGCCAATCAGCGTTTTATTAAAATACAATTGACAGGGTACAAACCATTGTCCCACAACACCTCAATGTGGTGTTCTGGAAAGTAAATGGCTTGTTGTTTGTCAGTTCTAGACCTCATTCCTCTCAGGCACAGTTTGCATGTTCAATCCTTGATTCGTATCAGTTTTTATGACTATCACTTGTGTAAAACTTCTACAACTTTCAGAATTCACCTAAAACTCCCTACCCCTTATTTACCAGGCCATGTGTTCAGCAAACATTGGGGACCAGTACCCAGGACAGTGCTTTAGAGCCAAACTTTAGTGAACAAGACCTAATAGACCTATAACCTAATAAACACCATTCTTTTTACTATATTTTTATTTTATTTTTTCAAAACAATCTTATTTTTCATACCAATCCCTGTTCTCTCCTCACACTGCCCTCACCTTCCTCCCATCCCACCCCATTCACTCCTTAGAGAGGGTGAGGCCTCCCCTGGGAAGTCTACAAAGTCTGTCACATCACTTTGAGGCAGGACCAAGCTCCGCCCTGTATCTAGGCTGAGCAGGGTTTCTGTCCATAGAGAATGAGCTCCAAAAAAGCCAGTTCATACAGTAAGGATAAATCCTGGTCCCACTGCTAGTGTCCTCACAGACTGCACAAGCCACACAATTGTCCCCCACATTTGAGGGCCTAGTTTGGTCCACTGTCAGTCTGGAGTCAGTGGGCTCCCACTTGCTCAGGTCAGCTGTTTCTGTGGGTGTCCCCATCATGGTCTTGATCCCTTTTCTCCTCCTTCTCTACAACTGGACTCTGGGAGCTTGACTCCGGGCTTGGCTGTGGGTCTCTGCATCTTCTTCCATCAGTTGTTGGATGTAGGTTCTATGATGGCAATCAAGGTATTCATCAATTTAATTCAGGGGGATGATAGTTCAGGCACCCTCTCCTCTATTGCTTAGATTCTCAGCTGGGGTCATTCTTGTGGATTCTTGGGAATTAACCCAGTGCCAGGTTTCTCGCTAACCCCATAATGGCTCCCTCTAACAAGATATCTCTTTCTTTGCTCTTCCCCGTCTCTGTCCTTCCCCCAATTCTGTTCCTCTAAAAATGTTTACTACGCATTCAGTTTGTTCTCATCTTTTTCAGTTGACACTGTCTATTTTCCTCTGGAGTTTTTTTTTACTACAATACATCATCACAATGCAATTAGGGCTACTTATCATTCTTATGAAGAATCTTCCCATAAGCTATGATCTCTGTGAGTGTCTGAAACCGCGGGTCCTAATGTGCCTTTTCTACATGTAGTGTGTTCCTCTATACATACAAACCTATGGTTGAGCCTGACAAGTGAATTATAAATCAGGCAATAGTAAAAGACTAGCCAGAAGAACGATGATGAAATTAGGCGTGGGTTGGGTAGGCAACTCAAAGGGTAAAGCGCTTGCCTTGAAAGCATGAGAATTTGAATTCAGATCGTAAAAAACCGAGTGCGGCAGTGAGCTCGTGTGATCCAGCACTGACAACAGAGATGAAGGGTCTCTGGGTCTTGCTGACCAGCCAGCCTGGCTAATTTGAAAGTCCCAGCTTCAGTCAGAGACCCTGCCTTAAAAAACAAGGTGAAGAGCAATGGACAAAAATGCCCAATATTGATTTTTGGTCATGGAAGCATGAGTGTATGTGTGTGAACACACAGACACACAAACACACGCACACACACATTCCCACATGCACACACATACAATTATAATAACTGTTCCAAAAGTGAAGTGTCGAATGAATATTAATAATTTCATGTCATGTTTGACATGTAATACTCACTATATAAAAGTATAGTATATACTTTATAGAACTGTAATATACACTATGTAAAAGAAAGCATGGGATAGTGGATACTACAGTATATCTGTCTTTTTTTCTCTCACTAAATGATATACTGGAGTCAAGACATATTCTCCCTCCTAGTCTGGTGCTCAGAAAATAATAAAAATTCAGCCAAATCACTTTCTTCGCACAAATAAGAATCTATAAGGTTATTTAAAGCACTATTTGAGCATTTTAACATTGACCATCCAGCCAGCTTTTATTGAAATCTTGCTGTACTTTAATTGCTCTACGAGATGCCTCCTGAGTCTTTCTTTCCACCACGCATCAAAGCTTCGTAAGCTAAGCAAGATCCCATTTCTTCCTGTAGGAGCTGCTGTCACCGAGCTTCACAGGACTGACAGATTGTCCTCACAGGGATCTTTCGGATAAACTCTGTCATCATCTTAATGTCTGAGCAAACCAGCCTCTTCGGTTGCTTCTATCAATGCCGCTCAAACACATCAAGTAGCTTTTAGAATGAACTTAGGAAACTTAGAGTTTGCACAGTATGATTCTAAGAGATCACTTCCAAAGCCAAACATGTATCCGTTACGGTGTTTGTTCAGGATACTGAAAACAGTTGCACTTGGAAAGATGAAAGAACGGTCTCTCATAAATAATGCAGCTTGCTCATCAGGATGGGCTTTGCATGTGGCCTTAATAGGATGACTGTAGTCAACTGTTGATATTTGTAAACTCAGACAACCACATTTCCGTAAGGTCCCCAAAATGGGACCTTGGAGACTCAGAAAAGGCTCATGGGCCAGTCACAAGTCTCATTAACAGGTTATGAAAATGTGATGGCTGAACTTGAAGAAGTAGTCACCGTTTACAGCATCAGATCAGAGAGTTTGATGTTGTTACTTCATGGCGACTGCCCTAGAACTATGGACAGTGGTATTTCCTCCTTCACACTTCTTGCCAAGTGATTCCTAAGACTTGCGTTGGCCAAGAACCCTTCTATCCCTATGCACTGTCAAAGTCTGTCTCTATAGTACTCTTTTTGTCTAATATTCCTCCAGCTATGAAGTTTCTTAAGCTAATTAGGTCCCATTCAGCTTTCTTTGCTTCTTTTGTCAGACGGTTTCTTCAAAAGGTAGACCCCGTTATCCAAATTGAATCAAAGCAGACATTCGTAAACAACTGGCACCTTGCTGACTTCCTCAGCTTTAGGTGGAGTCCCAAATACTGTTTGTTGATTTTGATAACTTTCCAAAGGGTGATCTTATTCTAGAGTTTGAAGATGGCCTTACTGGCAACATGCTATCAACAATAGCAGTTACCTATAAATAGAATTAACATCCGTGGTGGTTGATTTTGAAACACAGGAGAAGTTCTTCGAAGTATAACGATAAGAGAAACGGTTTGCGTGATGAACGTCAGAAACGCTTCTGCAAGCCTTTACTCTTGTGTGACTGGTGCTGTTGTGAGTGGCAGTGTGCGGGGCTTCTAGTGAGCCTTTAAAACCAGATGAAGCAGACAGTTGATAGAAACCAGAAAGACCTAAGAATATTGATACTGTATAATAGAGAAGAAAAAAAAGCAGAACACATACTCAGGCTATTGTATCATCAGAAGCCTCCCGCCTCCCTTCCCGTTCTAAGGGTCTATCGTTTTGTATGACTATAAAGCAGAGTGATAGATAGCAGACTGTATTATGTACCTCCCACTAATCAAATGAAGCACCAAGTATAATGCAAAAAGTAAAAATAAAAAAATTATATACTTAGAATACGAACATATCTACAAAAATACCATCAGTGCTACTTAAAACATCTTTATAATGCCATTCCAGAAATATGTGATGCAGGGAATCACCAAGTTTATCTTCATATAAATGGGCTTAAAGACAAAAATTACTTGATCATCTCAAAAATAAAGAAAAGGGCCTTGACAAAATCTAGCATAACATCATGACAAAAGTCTTAGAGAGTAGGACTTACCACAACATAATACAGGCTATGTATGATAGACCCCATCCAACATCATCCTAAATGGAGAAAAACATGAAGTGATATTATTAAAATCAGGACTAGGACAGGACTGTCCAGCATCCCCACTGTGTTTCAGTCTAGAACTCAAAGCAGCAGATGGAGCTAATGGGCAAGAGAAGGAAATTAAAGAGATTTAAAGAGATATCGATAGGGGAATAAAAGGTCAAATTATTTCTATTTACAGATGATATAATATTATACATAAATACCTACCAGAAAACCATAAACAATCAACAATTCCAGCAAAACAACAGGGTACAAAATCAACTTACAAAAGCAGCCACCTTTCTGTACACCACACAAGCACACTGAGAAAGAGATCGTGGACACGCCTACCCTTACAGTAGCCTCAAAGACAATACAAGTCTTAGAATAAACTTTCCCAAGGAGGTGAAAACTTCTACAGTAAAAACTTCAAATCTGTGAAGAAGAGGTTGAGGAAGACATTGTAAAATGGAAAGATTCTCATGTTTATGGATTAGTAGAATCAATATTACAAAACTATCATCTGACCAAAAGCCATTTACAGATTCAATGCAATCCCAATCCAAATGCCCCAAACAGTAATCACAGGAAAAGAAAAGTATCCTAAAATTTGTTTGGGACCACAAAAAAAAAAAAAGCCCTCTTAGCCAATACAATTCTGAGCAAAAAAGGGATTGCCATTTAAAATTTCAAGATATATTATGGAGCCATAATGGTAAAACGGTATGGTAATGACACACAAGACTTGTAGACAGGCAGAATGAAACAGAAGATCCAAACATACATACATAGTTACAGCCATTCAAAGGCCATATACGCAAGTGCTCACAGGGACTTGGGAGATGAGCAAACCCAGGCATAATGGCTCCTGATGGCTCACGTTTGTAATCCCCAGTCTTGTGGAGTTAGATAGACAGATCCTTGAGCCTTGCAAGTCAGCCAGCTTAGTCTACGTGGTGAGGTCCTAGCCAGTAAAAGACCCTGTCTCAACAAAAGGTGACACATAAGGTTGTCCTCTGGCCTGCACACGTAAGTACAATACCACGTGCACACACATGTACCCACATGTACCCCCACACCAAAAAGGCGCATACACCAAAATATCTTTTTAACTAGGTTGGGTTGGATCATGGTCATGTACACACACATGTACCCACATGTACCCCCACACAAAAAAGGGACATATGTACATGTGTGCCATGTGCATGTGAGCACACACACAAAGATATCTTTTTAACTGGCTTGGGTTGAATCAGTGCTCAGCATGCACTGTTATTTGAGTAAGTCTGCCAAACAGAGTAATAGTGGCCTTTCCCTGTCAAGTCTTTGACCTGGAACATGACTCTTCTGAGCTACCACCATCAATTAATCCCTTGGAGCCCCTTATCTTTGTGTAAAAGTATCCTTCCGTGACATGTAATGCTGTAATTGTTTCTTGCTCTGATTTTCAACATGATGTTTGATGTTTTGGAGGCAAGTTGTTTCTCACACCATGAAAATTTTTTTTGCTTGATACAGGAGGCATCTGTGACCCTGGAGACTCCCATGAAAACGATGTGATCTTGTATGCCAAGACTGAGGGAAGGAAAGAGCATTTTGTGCTGGATACACTTTCTTATTCCTCCTATAAGGTACCGATGACAACCCTTGTGCCCGATGACCTCAGAACCCCCAGGCTGAGACCACACCCACAAAGAGCATGTCAGGCAGGCACAGAGGCTTCATCTCTGTGGGGGACACCCCAGGAAATTGCTAGATTTTTTTTAAGTGACTTGGGAATTTTAACACTCATTTTTATTCCTGACACAAATGAAAACTCAGATTTATTCAGGAAGAACAAATTACTGAAACAATAACGCAAAACCCAAACCTCCTCTGGACAGTTACTCCTGTCCCTGAGAAAGCTGTAAAAGGGAACTCTAATTATGCAGCTTCACGGCCTTGCTTTTCGACAGAATGGGTAGAGCCCCACACTGGAAATCTTTCAGACAGAAGGCGTCACAGGCATTCACATTACTGTAAACCTTACATTTTTCTTTGCTCATTAGAACTACAGAATTGTGCTTTTCCCTTTGCTCTCTGCGTATAGGACAGGAACTGTTTCTGATTATTTGCAAACATCCTGAAAGTCACGTGAGATGATTGTCCAGGGTGTGCGGGTGTTTCACACCATCAGTGTGTGCCGACACCACCCACACTCAGTAGTTTCTCTCCACACTGATCGCTCTCTGGATACTCCACAGAGCTAGGGCTAGGGAGAAGTCTCACTCAGCAAGGTGCTTGCTCCGTAAAGTGGTCCTGCCTAAGTTTGGACCCCAGAACCTAAGTGAGAAGTTGGGCATGGTGGTGCACACCTGCAGTGTAGATGCTGGGGAGGTGGAAATGGGATCTCTAGGTTTGACAAGCCAGCCCAGCTGACCAACTCCAGGTTCAGTAAGAAATGCTGGCCCCACGCGGAAAGAAGTGGAGAACAGTGATTGAAGAAGACACCTGACTTGAACCTGGGCCTCCTGTACAAATTTGCACACTCACCCACGTAAGCACATACATGGAAAATAAAGAATTTAAAAATAGTCAACTTAGAAAGCAATCAGAGAAAAATATCCAACACGTTCAACATTCAATTGTAGCCCAATTGATTGGGATATCATCGAAGACTACTTTTCTAGCAGTTAGCTGGTATGATTTTACCTGCTCTGGCCTTGTGAATCCTTCACACCGAATCATAGACATAAATGATCGCATGTTGATCTATTGTCTATGACTGCTTCTGTTTTGAGTCTTCTTTTCAGGATTCGTGGCAGAGAGGAACACTAGTGTTATACAGAGCTGCTTTGAAGGCACAAATGATGCAGTCAGATTATCATTCAGCTGCCTCTGTCCTGTGCTCCGGGGGATGAAATGGTTACACACACTTGATCAGTCCCACACAGGGAGCCCCCTGTTTGCACAATCATTCTAAGTCCTTGAAGATAGAATCTTCCACATGAAATAACAAATCCAGCACAAAAGTCATTGCCTGGTGCTCAGTAAATGGCAGGTGTGGATTCAGTGATTGCTGGATAGAATCTAAGAGAATCATATCATCTAGATGAGAAGGATTGTAAATAATTCGAGTTTCTTTCTTCTGGAAGGTTCCATCTTTGCTTTCTGTAGTCATCAACCCTGAACTTCAGACGCCTGCTACCAAATTTTGTCTCAGGCAAAAGAACCACCAAGGGCACAATCGGAATGTCTGGGCTGTGGACTTCTTCCACGTGCTACCGGTTCTGCCGTCTACAATGTCACACATGATACAGTTTTCTATTAATCTGGGATGTGGGACGCACCAGCCTGGAAACAGGTAGGAAGCACACGAAGGAGTAGCATCCTCTGGTGAGAAATGAGCGTGCATGCACTTGACTGTTGAATGAGAATTTGTCAGTAGATACCTGTGTGGGTTCTTAATTAAATGTCTATTAACAAAATAATTAACAGATTCTTCCCCCTCCCCCTCTGTAACAAAATACAGATTCAAAGAACTGAAAAAGTTCTTTGAATGATAATAATAATAATAATAATAATAATAATAATAATAATAATAATAGTAATAATAGGAGGAGGGATGTTACTGGGTAGAGTTTTCCCTACTGGGTGAGTATAGTTTCGTTCTGAGTGCTTGATACAAAGTATCAGAGGTGTTCACACATGCCCTGGCAACATCCCTTGTAATAAACTGATGAAAGTGAAGTAACTGAAGACCAGATTGGCCCCTGTAGGCTAGTGACCCCCTAATGATAGGTATGGAGGTCAATTAGCATTTCAAGGGCTGTAGCTTCTCTGTTTCACTTGCAGAAGTGTTGCTTGGCTCCCCTGTAAGCATTTTCCTGGTCTCACATTCACGGGGTGAAGTGGCAGTGTGAGACATGGTAATTGCCTTGCTATCTATCAGATTCAAAACACAAACCCAGGTTACTGTGGGTAGCCCTTCAAACATAGCTTTTGGGGCAGCAAGCCAACCGCTTGCCCTTTGAAGACTGGTCAGACTCCAGGGAGAGATGACACAGACATTTAGGAAATGTCCCGTACTCGTTGACCTAGCCAGAAATGCAAGGAATCATTTGATATCTCCTAACCCCCCTCTTTGTTGTGGTTGCTCTGCTATTATTAGTGTCAGCTTGGAGTTTTCTACTAACCACGGACGTTCCTGGTCCCTGCTCCACACTGAGTGCTTGCCTGAGGTCTGTGCAGGGCCCCACCTCCCACACAGTACCACCTACTCCTCTGAAAACTACAGTGGGTAAGTGAGCATGCTCCAAGGCTCAATTAAAAGATTGAGTCCACATGGTGTAAAATTAAAAAAAAAAAGAAATAGTAATTTGCAGACTAGACATTTTAAATAATAGCTAAGTAAACTGACTTCTCCTTAAGAGTGGTATCATGAAAATACATGCACAAATATCTTTGCTAAATCCTATCCTGACCACACTTTCTGGGGTCAGTCATCCTTTATGGATGACACTTGTGTTTTGGATTATATGCCCCATCGTTATTGCTTTTGAAAAGGAATTGTTTTGCCAAAATACAGACATAATTTGGGAGTAGGAAAAAAAAAAGATAGCTTTTTAGAATTAGACCTGGTCAGTCCGATCTTACTCTAACATCTACCATATGCGATGGTGGTCAGTGTAACTCTCCAGATAAATTAAGGTCTACTGCACACTCTTTTGTGGGCTAGCATAAAACTCAAGATGCCTCGGTAAGACTTTTGCCAGCTTATAGAATGAACATTAGATACACAGTAAAATATTTACAAGGCCAGCAAAATGGAGACGTGGACTCCACAGGTGAAGATAAGCAATACTTTATTAATTTTGGTGTTAGAGCGAGCACACAGAAACAGGAGCCTCACAAGAATATAAAGTTCATTCAGAAGATGGGGATGTGGTTGTGAGGCTGGTGCTGTGCTAACTTTCTCACAGGTGGAACCGGATCACCATCCCCCTCCCTAACGCAGCGCTCACCCGTGAGACCAGGCTCCGCTGGAGACAGACAGGAACAATCCTCGGGAACATGTGGGCGATTGATAATGGTGAGTGTTTACCACAATCATAGGCCATTGACGCGGGTGCGTCCTAGGTTTTTGTCAGTCAGCACGGCACAGCACATTGCTAAGTCATGGTCTTGCGATTCCTGAAGCATCCTCTCTTCCTTTTCTCCTTTGCATTCCTTCAGAAGCCAGGGATGTACAATCAGAAAAAAAAAAAAAGGCTGTGTAGTCAGCAATATTAGATGCTGAAATGTTTCAACATACATAATTTTAAAATGCTTAAATCCATAAAATTCAAATTCACAGTTGATGACAAAGGATAGCCTAACATTTTCCTGAATCTTATGCAGAATTAACATAAGCACCATACTGCATGTATTAAAATAAGACCCATTCTTCTTAGTGGCTCCCATAACATCTGGGCTGCTCATCTTCTAGCTGCAGACACGATGCAGAGAGGGGGAACATCGTGTCTAAAATACTCATGAAACTCACCCTGTTTCCAGGAAATGGCATGAAAGAAAAATTTGGATATCCATAGAAACTGTGAACTAGATTGATGATCATCTCTGCATAGTCTCTATACTACAATGTATACTTTGTGTGCAATAAGAGACAACAAAAGTTGCCTAAACCTAGTATATAAACTAAAGTATCTAAGGTTTAATTTGTTAAAATAAAGTTTCTTCGCTGGCAGAATTTTGCATAGCGTTTTAATTACCACAGCTGCTGACGGGCTCCAGGGTATGTGTCCCTGGGCAGTAGGATATGAATAGATTTTTCCTAGTGTAATTCTGTTTAAGAATCTATAATGAATGTTTATTAGTTTTAGTCTTCACAAAAGAAGTTTAAAAACTAGTAATAAAGTGAAGAACAAGTATGAGGAAATTGAGAGTGTAATGAAACATGTATCTGCCTCTGTACAGGTTGTCCAGTTTCCTAAAGAAAGCAATTACAGCGTGGTTTAGGAGCAGGGAGTGTTTCCTGCACACTGCTGACCACCCAGCTTCATGTCTGAGTCTCATGGGAAAAGCTTAAGTCACAGAAAGGGCACATGGTTCACAGCGGTTACACACTAGGGAAAGAATCCCTTCAGTTCTGTCTGTCCTGTGTGAAGCTTCCCAAGAACAGCCTCCAGCCCCTGGCGCGTTCACAAGGTAGAAAGGGGCCCGCATGTCTCCCAGAAAGGACACCTCTGCCATCCCTTCCATTTAATTACCAAACCCTAGAATTGCATCAAAGAAATCTAGAGAAAATGTGGAGAATTGCCAAGGGAGACACATGGAGACAAACCTTAGCTCAAATGTCATATTCTGAAAATATTAACAAAACGGAAAATCCTAGGACAGGCTATTTCTAGCTTATTTTTACTTCTCCAACTATAGTACATTGATGAAATAATAAATCCAGGAGCGGAGGGCAAACTTTTCAGTGTGGTTTTATTGACTTGGAAAACCTTATGTTACTGATGATTTTGTTTCTATAAAGGCTTTTCAAACCACGATGTGGTGTTGCAGCCCCATGCAGCCTCGAGAGTAACCCCGTGGAGCTTACCCTCACAGGATCCCACGGGTGTCCAACCAAGTGTGCCTGTTCTGTCCCCTCAGTACGTGGTGAACAGAGGAGTCTGCTGGACAGTGGGCCAGCAGGGTAGTGGTGGCTGTGGTGCTTGCAGCCACACAGCACGATGCTTCGGGAGCATGGCACAGTTACCCGTTCTCTCGGAGAGGTCGTCACCCCACTTCACAGGATGGACACAGCAAGCCTTCGTCAGGATAAACCATTTACCCAAAGCTTTCCAGGCAAAGCCAGATTGTAGGACCACAGTTAACGGATGCCTGAATACTTTTAACCAAGCAGTGTGCTGTCCAGGCACTTCTGAGTAGGCCGTGTCTTTCACCAAGAGATTTTGCCGTGCAACTCCTTAGATTTTTCTGCCCCTACTGATTGGGTGCAGGGATTATGTGCTCCTGGGAGTTCAGGTCACAGAAAAGTTTATTTTTAAATAAATCATTGGAGTATTTTGATGTGATTTCAGGACAGAGAAGAAAGTGGCAATTTTTTTTTCAGGTCTGAAACTGAGTATTGTGGACTCTTAGCAACCACCGCATCTCTGATTGATTTCTCCCTGTTATATTATTGATAATTGATTATACTCATTATAAAATTCTTATATTTTTACTTGTATTAGAGTCTTACTACCTCAGATAGTAAGATCTTTTAGGTCTTTTCAGAATGCTGAAGATTAGAATTTAAGTCTATACTATCATATTGTCAGTCAATCCAGCATTTGCCGAGGAAACTATATATTATGGAGAAGTCTTTATATGCAACAATAGATTCTTCATGCTGTTTCATATTTCCAGGGAGGAAGAATTAATATTTAGAATATATGCAATGCTCATATGTAGTATTATAGATTGCCTCTCAGGTAAGGATAGAAATTATAGCAACCTCATCACTTTGCAATGCACCAACTAGGTCCTCTATTTCTCTCCAAAGAATGCATGCATTGCAGGACATTTGAAGCAGGAACATTAGCAATCTGCTGTAATTGTTGGGGCAGAAGACATCGCAGTAAGGAATATAAATTACACAGCCCTGTGAGTGCAAGCAGTAAAGTCTCGATAGAATTATTTATGGAAATTAAAACAGATCCAACATATTTGTGACTGAGTGCTCACACCAGCTCCGGGTTCTCTGCATGTCACCTCATGCCCACATAGCAGGCCGTGTTTCATGGGCATTGCTTTGTAAAATCATGTTGATGATATTCTTGGTTTTTCCAATTATGTTGCTACCTTTTATTTATGTGACTTCTTTCTCCCTACAGTTTATATAGGTCCATCGTGTCTCAAATTCTGTTCTGGCAGAGGACAGTGCACTCGACATGGTTGCAAGTAAGCATTTGAAAATAATATGTTTGGTTGTCTGTGTGTGTCCGTGTGTTTGTCCGTGTGTGTGTCCGTGTGTGTTTGTGTATGTAAAAATGTATATATTATATATATACACACAGTCATTCCATATTGAGGCCATGAGTCATTTAAATGTACGTAATATTCTATCTTAGAATATGAGTTATTTTTTAAAAACTGAAATCAGGATACTTGATGTGGAATTATTGTGTGTGGTGTGGGTGTATGTATGAGTATGATGTATGTGAAAGGTTCATGTGTTGAATAAGGGTATATATGCAAAAGCCGGAGGAGCACATAGAGCATCCTCATCCTATTACTCTCTGTCTTCTTCCTTTGAGACTGGGCACCTCACTGAACCTAGGACTAAGCTAGCAGCTAGTGAGCCCCAGGGTCTTGTCTGTCCCTGCCGTCCACATCACCAGGGTTATAGTCATGCATGCGGCCATGCCTGAACCCTACCTGTGCTTCAGCAGTTGAACTCAGGTCCTCATGCGTGCACAACCAGCACGCTTACCCTCTGGTCCATCTCCCCAATCCTGAAAATGGGATTTAAATATAACTTAAGTACAACTTGGAAGCAAATTAATAAGTTTATATTGGACTAAATTGTAAAAGCTATCGTATCCCTCATGTGAATTTGTAACAAATCCAAATCCCTCATAGCTGGATAGTTAGCTTTCTGTGCTTTGTATAGAATAATGGTGCTGGCTGTCAGATCTGAAATAATATCCTAATAGGGTAATATCCATTTGCCGCCAGTGAGTTGTGTTATATTAATACCAAGAACAGATAGCTGCATTTATTATGTCATTCCTGGATTAATATTTAATTCTAGATCTCTTGTGAATTTCTGAAACCACAGGCCATCTTTGTCATAGAGATAAGTTTCAACACCTCAAACAAAAAAGTAGTTAATTGGGTAACTAATTAATGAATAGGCAATTTACAAAAGAGCTTTGAACCTACTTGTATAGAAATTATGGACAATTGTAAACACTGGGAGTAGTGTGGCAGGTTAATTTTTAAAACTGTATTTTATTGAATTTAATTAACAAAGAGATCACTGTACAATTAAATATTTTATAAAGTATGTGAGTAATGGAAAAGTTTCTGTTTATGCTTTAAAACTGAATATGAACTTCCATTTTTTAATTGGAGGGGTCACGTGAGCACCCTGAGATGTGTGTGAGTTTTCAACTGTGTATGTGTGCGCACATGTATATAGAAGTCAGAGGATGTATCGGGATGTCATTCCTTAGGAACCATTCACCTTGGTTTTTGAAACCAGGTATCTCTCTCCTTTCCCCACTTTTTGTGTGTGTGTGTCAGTCTGCCTGTGTCTGTCTGTCTGTCTGTCTGTCTGTCTCTCTCTCTCTCTCTCTCTCTCTCTCTTTGTGTGTGTGTGTATCTGTATCTGTATGTGTCTGTCTCTGTATCTGTGTGTTCCTGTCTCTCTCTGTCTCTCTCTGTGTGTCTCTCTGTCTCTCTCTGTCTCTCTGTCTCTCTTTCTCTTTCTTTCTCTCTCTCTCATGGGTTTGGGACTTCCAAGCTAGGCTACACATGCTGACCAACAAGCCCCACGGATCCTCCTGCCCCTACCTTCCCAAGCCTAGGACTTAGAATGAGCGTGCCATGATGCCCAGTTCTGACGTGGGCTCTGGGGTCTAAACTCAGGTTTCCATGCCTTTACCCAGCGAGCCATCTCTCTTAACTTGTAAGATAAACTCCTGCCCCGAAGTAGCTCATGGACTCTTTGAAACACTATGTTTTCCTTGAATTGCTGTCTCTTTCTATTATCTCTACTAGGCCATCTACATTTTAATGCATTTCAAATAAAATTAACACAAAAGAAATTTGAATCTATGCTTTTAGAAACTTTTTTTTAGATCAAAAATTGTCAGGAATAAACATCGCCTTCTCTTTCTGAAGTTTCACTGAATGGTTTGACAATTGGAAATTTTCTTTTCTCCATATTCTGGCAATATTGCATGTAACAGTGATTGCCTTTGTACTTTTGTGGGTAGGTTAAATTTAACTACTGGCTCTTTTTTGAGAATATACACCTTACTGAGTTGGAACAAAAATTACACTGAAATTTATATTTAATGTCATTTATTTTTGTTAGCAGATCTTAAACTTGGAGCTTCCCCACTTTGCCCTCAACGTTATTATCTTTATTTTCCACCAGGATCCCACCCCCTACCTTCCCATAACACCTTCTTATAACATGAGGGGGCCTGCTTGTTGGGGTTTCTGTCCTGCCCAGTACCCCACAGCTGGCAAACCCCAAAGAAAATCACACAGAGGACTCCATAAGATTATAAACTGATTGACCCATTAGCTCAGGCTACTTATTAGCTCTTATAACTTATGTTAGCCTATTATTTTTATCTATATTAGCCACACGGCTCAGTACCTTTCTCAACGGGGCAGCTTACATCTTGCCTCTCCAGTGGTCTGGGCAGAACTGTGGAGGGAGCTTCCTGCTTCCCAGAATACTCCCATTCTTTTTGCTCCACCTTTACTTCCTGTCTGGTTTTCCCACCTATACTTCTTGCCTGGCCAATCAGCATTTATTTAAAATATGATTGACAGAATACAGACAATTCTCCCGCACCACCTTCTGGCTTGTGTACATCTTGCGGCTGAGTTTCTAAACTGACATTCACTTGCCTAGTGAGCCTAATCCTGCCACAGACTAGGGAATGTGGGCACACTTCAGGAGTGTTACCCAGGTATTTCCACAGTGGGAGATTTCCCCAGCCAGCATCCAGGGTGAATATGTGACCAGATTTGGAGATAGGTAGATGAACCATTGGTGGTCATGCTTGGAGTCTGACAGTTTCCTGTCGTACCTAAGCCGCCAGTGTGATTGCTGGAAAGCGAAGACTGAAAAGAATCTGTTGTTTTATCTTTAAACACAAGTGGAGTCTCTATTGGGATTCTACCCCAATTAGACGATCTTTACTAATGGTAGATTTTCAGAACCGTTTCATGGGAAGAGACTCAGCGATGCCCTGCATCTCAATGGCCTCCTTTCTCGCGATCTAATTCTAAGAGAACGTATTTAAGATGCACAAAAGTATATTTATCCTGAGAGGCACTTTGCTAGACTTGCTGGGAAACAAATTCCAATTGCATGCCGTGGTAAATCACCCCTGCCCACCAGTGTGTCCAGCTTAGCTGAAGTTTCCTAGCCTGTTTGGAAACTTTTTGGTGACTCACAGGATGACTGTATCCATGAAATAGTCTGTGTAGAAGCTGAGGCTCATTAACGGGCTCAGCAGATAATAAATTGTCTATCCTTCACTTCTCCCTGAAGTTGCCTGTGTTGCCAGGAAACCCCTTGAGCCTCATGCTGTGTTACTTCTTGGCATTTTAGGGCCCAGCTTCTTTGTTAACCTGATGAAAAGGGTTTACTTGCAACACCAGAAAAGTTAGAGTGTATATCAAATTTGGCTTTTTATTTCAACTTGTTCTCACACTCCGTAACCCCTGTAGAAGGCCACTGTAGGCCTTGGTTTCAGAAATACTGTTGGAGAATAGTCTCTGAATTGAACCCTAACATCCATTTATTGGTACACTACTATGTGAGAAGGCTGTTTCAGACTTCAGGGAGTTTAAAGGCTTCATTGAAAATGTTCCTGCACCACGGATTTCACCTTGTAATTTAAAACTGTACTGTAAAAAACAAAACTAACTAAACCATTAAAGGTTTCTTACATTCAAGTAGTAATTCCACTGTGATGAAGCTTACTCATTGCTAAAAGATGGGTGATAGTCTAGGGAGGGAAGAGGGATGAGGTCTGCCCTCCACAGAGAGCAAAAATGTCACCAGGTCGTTAACAAATCCGCACACACCACTACCGCCACCACCACCACCACAACCCCCACCTTCTAGGCAGGAAAACATGGCTTTCATCTCCTCCACTGAGAAGAGACCTCCACATGTTTGACATTTCTGGATCTCTTAGCCCTTCTCTGGGACTACAAGGACCTCTGTGCCCCCAACAGACCACCTGGTATAAAAAGCACATTCTCATTGAGCAGTCGGGCACTGGGAGGAAGCTACTTTTCTTCCTGAACCACTGCTAAATTGGGAGCCACCAAGAGGCAACAGCTCTACCGAGTGCTTGCATCTAGGTCAAAGGTGTGCAGTTTCCCTAGTTTGCCAGCCTAGGTGTGAGATGCTTAAAGAAAGACTTGTTTCCAAAGCCTGAAAGTATGTAAAAGAATCCCTCTCAGAATGTTACATTTTATCTTTATTCTTGGAGGAAACTCATTCTAGATATTTTGTTAGAAGTGTTTCATGTTGTTTCATCAAGTTTATGAGCAATATGAATAAAACCATCGGTGCTTCCAAAGATTTTACGTTGTCAGTGTGTGCAGATTTTGGCTCATTTTAGATGTGTGCTAACATTGGTCAGAGGTAAATGCTGAACTGTTTTAATCGTAGCTTTTTACAGCAGGGCCTTCAGAGATTAAATTTTCCTGCAATGTTCAGTCAGCCAGCCCTTGTCACACTTCAAATTCAGTTTCTCCAAAGACCATCAAGGCTGTGTGCCATTCACTCCCTGCCTGGTCTCTGGACCCAGACACACAGAGTAGTAAGCTCAGGAGCGTCCAAAGGACGGACTGGCAAGTTCTGCGGGCCCTGAAGGGGCCGCACCTTAAGACTCACGCCCCATTCATTTCTTTCAGGTGCGACCCAGGATTTTCCGGCCCAGCCTGCGAGATGGCATCCCAGACATTCCCGATGTTTATTTCGGAAAGCTTTGGCAGCTCTAGGCTCTCCTCTTACCATAACTTTTACTCTATCCGTGGTGCTGAAGTCAGCTTTGGCTGTGGTGTCTTAGCCAGCGGGAAGGCACTGGTTTTCAACAAAGATGGGCGCAGGCAGCTGATCACATCTTTTCTGGACAGCTCCCAGTCCCGGTGAGTGTGGTGGGGTAGAGCATGCAGAGAGCATGTAGGCGCGTTTGGATGATTTTCAGTTCTACTCTTTCCTCTTTCACTAGACGGATATGCCTTCTAATCTTTAAATAGGCTGCAAGGATTCTTAGCTTATTGAGAATTAATTTGCTCTAGTTTTTAATAAACCAGAAGACTCACCAATGATTCTGAGTTACTAACGACTGACAGTTTTTTTTAAAAAATATGCGATGTTCACATCAAAACTGTGTTCTTAAGCCAAAGGCTGGTTAATTATTCATGTAGTTTATTTATTTGACAGCTTGCAGGGGTGATTAGATTTACTCTACACCGCCCCTTCCCCCAGTGCCTGATAAATAATGCAGGAGAGGAATGATTGGCATTTCAAGTTTATGTACACAGGCACATAACATACAGACAGGCATGAAAATAGCTCTATTTTATGAACACACACACATACATACATACATGCATACATACATGTATATAATACATGCACATCTTCACTTACTTATAAATCTTACAGTACAATCACGTGTATTTTATAAAACAATGACTATAAGCCTACAGCTTTTGGGAAGTTCATTTAAAAGAACTTGAATTTCTTTGAAAACAGAAGCTTATCAATAAGAATGTGCCTGTGTTGACTAACTATGAATGGCTCGTTCTAGGTTTCTGCAGTTCATGCTACGCCTGGGGAGCAGGTCTGTGCTGAGCACATGCAAGGCCCCCGACCAGCCTGGGGAAGGAGTCTTACTGCACTATTCTTACGACAATGGGATAACATGGAAACTTCTGGAACACTATTCCTACCTCAGCTACCATGAGCCCAGGTATGTCAGAATGCATCCGTGCAGCATTTCCTTCCTGGGGGAAACACAGTTCAGTTTTACAGTTTTGCAGAGTGCCAGGTTGTATAAGATTCTATATATTCTTCTATTGAAATGTACAATTGGTAAACCATATTTTTAACTTATGTGTCCCACTGATTTTGATACTTCAAAGAAATGTACTGTTATATTTTGAGATGTGCGTCTAAGGAAGCCACTTTGATATTTAGGAAAGAAATACAGCCAATCCTGTTATGCTGTAAGCTATTAGAGATGATTTTTATATGACACTCATTTGCAAACACTGTTAAAAATATTTGATAAGATTTTGCTAAATTACACATAAACATTGTAATAATTTATTACATCTGATATTCGATGTGTTTTAAGTTTTTCACACAGTAAAATTAAGCAGTAAGCACAAATAAATCTTTCTGGCATGTTCTGAGTCCGTGACAATGGCATGTATGAAGAAGTAAATAAAACCCCTTCCTCGGGCCATTTCTATTTCTCTCTGATTTTGTATATTTCCTGGATATATACACCTAACAGGGGTTCATCCTTCAGTGTTGACAGGATGGTGCCCACAAACATGGCAGAGAAGCTCTGCCCTGTTAGAACACACACTGGGCTTCTCCGTGAAAGTCCTTTAGAAGGAGCAAAGGGGGAGAAGGAAGAGAAATCTCAAAATAAGGTATCCATGTACAAACCATCAGAGGTGAGCACTGTGTCCCACCCGTAGTCCTGTACGGAGAGCTCACACTGGTGCCTCTTCAGGAGGCACCTTTCCCCTGGCTGATGAGGAGGCAGGCTTCAGTCCTCAGATGTGCCCTGACACTGATAATGCATGCTGCATGTTTTATAATTTTGCCGGGGGCCACTCCCAATTTTAATCATTTGCAAATAATATGAGAACTTTGTCCATAAAGTGAAGTAGCGGGTAACAAACAATCCCTCACGAGTTTGACCTAAGTTTTACACATTATAACCAAATTTAAGTGTCCCAGCTATGTTGGATGCTTTCTTTGTACATGTAAAAATGTACAGCTTTATCCCTCATGCCCTATAGAAAAGTTCCAGGGACTCCCCATGGTTAATATGAACCAATAAATTAAATTAAAAAACAACATGATAAGATCATGAAGAAAATACCATCATCCTAAGTGAACTTGGCGAATGCCCAATTTTTTTTCTGGCAAGGATGGACAACTTCAAAATTCAGTAATCAATCTCTCTGATGAATTTCATTAATCTTTGTTGATATTAAAAATAGTGACATCTTCAATGTTCTGCTGCAAAGGGGGCTTTAATCTCGTCCACCATGTGACAGTGGCGTTCTTCTAAGCAGAATCAAGGCGGTCCTTGACGGTTAGGGATGTGTGTGGTGTGAAAGATGGACACCGCAGTAGAGGCTTTCATCATATGAGCATCTGACCGTAAGACTCACCTTCTTCCTCCCCCTCACAAATATTAATAAAAGCTGACATGGCAGAAATGGAAGCTGATATATTCTAAGTGCTAAATTATAGTCTTCATAATAAATAATACAAACCATGAAAATTTTTCAGAGGATTAAATATATCTTGATGCCCTTAGCCATTTAGTCTGCTTTATTCATTGTAAATTACCTCCTGTAAAGTGCAGTGAATTCTATATTATCTCTTAATGTCATGGTTGTTCAGAAATGAAGTATGAGCGGTGTGTTGGATCTTCTAGCTGGTTCGCCACTATCACTAAAGGACAGTTTCAGGAAATTTTTCTGTGTTTCATTCAAATATTAAAAGAACTGTTTATGTATAAAATCTGAAATCTCATAATATATCTAGTCTGAATGACCATCTTGTGAACTAATTTGTGCTTTTATAAGTGTAAATTTCATAATTCTGTTAAACCTTAAACTTGTTTCCCCTTTTGTTAATGTTTATAAGTGTTTTTATACTCTAAAATTGCTTTAAAAATTAAATCTTGGTCAAATTTTATGCCTTGATTATTTATTGTGTTTGATCCCTTATTTCAAGTTACCCAATTCTATAATTTATAAAGTTATCAAGCTTTAAAAAAATAATTTCTTGGCCAGGTAGTGATGGTACATGCCTTTAATCCCAGATTTTGGGAAGCAGAGGCAGGTGGATCTCTGTGAGTTCAAGGCCAGATTGGTATATGGAGTGAGTTCAGGATAGCCAGGGCCACACAGAGAAACCTTGTTTCGAAGAAAGAGAAAATTCATTCAGCCTGGGGAGGTGGCTTAGTAGATACCAGTTTAAATCTCCAGCCCCTACATAAAAGCTGGTCAACTATGGCAGAAAACTGTAATTCCAATGCTTGCAAAGCAAAGCTTGAATTACCTGGATCAATCTGTCTTCCTAGACTAGTAGAACTCAACTCCAGGTTCAGCTAGAGACTGCTTCAACAAATGAAATGACAATTTATCAATCAAGGAGGACACCCAACATGAACTTCAGGCTTCCACACACATCTGAGTTCATCTGTATAAACACACACACACACACACACACACACACACACACACACACACACACACTGGCCAATAAGAAAAAAGAAAATAAAGAAAAATCATATAACACACATCTACAAAGGAATGATTGAAGCAAAAGGTTAACTTAAGTCTCTATTCTCACCAAGTAATGTTCTAATCAAAGTTTCCATAACTATCCTACCAGCCACTCTAATGTGCAAAGAGCCGACATCATTAAAAATCTCCCACGCTCTTGGCAGAAGTTATGTGGAGTAGAAGACCAAGGAGCTAGGACCAAGGTTTCTAGATCTGCCAGTCATTTAGCATCTGTTTAACCCCAAAAGGGATGATTGGCATCCCTCTTCCTCTGTGTTCACATCCCTGTTGGCATTCCCTGGGGATGCTTTGTGCACTGGAGCTTTGTATTGTCACCATGTGTCAACGACTGCTTTACATACTGACATACAAATGGAAGAGAGACAAAAAGGTTCCTAGTCCTTGCTCTGAAATGTTTTGATCCTAAATTGACATTTGCAGATGCTGAGACCTGTAAGGCACATCAAACAGCCTTTCCTTCGGATGCAGAGTCATCAGTCATTGGGTTGACATCACAGAGACCCTGACCCAAGAGTCTAACTGCAGACCAAGAATCTAACTGTAGACCAAGAGTCTAACTGTAGACCAAAGGTCTAACTGTAGATCAAGAATCTAACTGTAGACCAAGAGTCTAACTGTAGACCAAGAGTCTAACTGTAAACCAAGAGTCTAACTGTAGACCAAGGGTCTAACTGCAGACCAAGAGTCTAACTGTAGACCAAGAATCTAACTGTAGACCAAGAGTCTAACTGTAGACCAACAGTCTAACTGTAGACCAAGAGTCTAACTGTAGACCAAGTGTCTAACTGCAGACCAAGAGTCTAACTGTAGACCAAGAGTCTAACTGCAGACCAACAGTCTAACTGTAGACCAAGAGTCTAACTGTAGGCCAAGAGTCTAATTGTAGAACAAGAGTCTAACTGTAGACCAAGAGTCTAACTGTAGACCAAGAGTCTAACTGTAGGCCAAGGGTCTAACTGTAGAACAAGAGTCTCCACTCCTCCTTTATGAAAATATTGATATCTTTAACTATTGTTACATGTATATTCATTTTTAGCTATTTTTAAACTTATATCTGTTCATCAGGGAGATTGGTTGTATTTTTAATTATTAAAATAAAAAACTTCAATTTTTTATAATATGATGCTAATTAAACTAAATTATTTAATCAATGTCTGATGTTTGTATTATTGAACCAGTTGGAATATAGTTCAATTGTTTAGTTTCATTATGCCTTTTATGAATAAATATTCATGCCTGTCAAATAAATATTATTAGGAAAATAAAAGTGAAAGCTATCAATAATGTTTAACTTAACTATTTACTTATATTAATTATCATCTAATTAATTATATTAATAATATTATATCTAATTAATTATATTAATAAGAAGTTTATCAGATTATGGAAACTATTTTAAAATCACAGATGCATTTAAATATGTCTTTGTAGTTTACATTTTATAAATTTATGTTTTTTAAATTTATGCTACTCTGTTTCTATATTGATTTTTCATTTTTTTTATTCTATTACTTTTAAAATATACCAATCCAAATTTCCACTTTTTCCCCTCCTCCCATTCCCCTCCCACTCCCCTCCCACTCCCTCCACACACCCTCCCCCAAACCCTCTCCAATCTTGAGAGAGGGCAATGCACCCCGCTCTGTGGAAAGTCCAAGGCCCTTCCTACTACATCAAGGTTGAGCAAGGTATACATCCAAAGAGAATAGGGTCCCAAAAAGCCAGTACATGCAGTAGAGATAAATCCCAGTGCCATTGTCATTGACCCCTCCGTCTGCCCCAACTGTCAACCATATTCAGAGGGACCAGTTTGATCCCGTGCTTATTCACTCCCAGTCCAGCTGGAGTTGGTGAGCTCCCATTAGCTCAGGCAAATTGTCTCAGTGGGTGAACCCCTCATGGTCTTGACTTTCTTCCTTGCTCATATTCTCACTCCTTCCAATCTTCAGTTGGACCTTGGGAGCTCAGTCCAGTGCTCTGATGTGGGTCTGATGGAGGAAGGACAGAGATGAGAGCAAGGAAAGAGATCTCTTGATTGAGGGAGCCCTTTGGGCATTAGCAAGAAACCTGGCTCTAGAAAAATTCCCAGGAATGCACAAGGATGATCCCAGCTAAGACCCTAAGCATTATTTTTTTTAAGATGTGTTTTCTCATGTTTTAGACAATTCCACCCGGTTGTGACTGTCTATATAACCAGGAGTGGCACTCAGTCTTCTCTCCTCATATTTCTTTAAAGGCTGTAAAGGGAAAATGATAGTAATTCTCAGCAGATAAACCACATTTCCAAACTATCGTTTTAATATTTTATGCACGAGAAAAAATATGAAGCGCAGTCTAATTCTTCAGTAAAGCTAACCTGGGATAATGAAATCTTAAATACTTCAAGGTACCCACATAGTCACTTGGTGGAAGAGGGAGCGGAAGTTTTTCTTTACTCGCTGGAAGCAACCCTCCTGAGACCCGAGCCTGCCCCCTGCAGCGCTGCTCCTGGAGTCCTCCCGCTGCATTGTGGGAGAGGAACTCCCGCTGCATTGTGGGAGAGGAACTCTTGCTTTCGCATCTCACACATCTCACGCATCTCACCTGCTTGCATATGTGAGCAGCCTGGTGCTGTGATTTATGGAGCTTTGACACTGATGTCATCGGGAGGCAATTAAAGCGTGGGTCCTGCTACTGTGTGCAATAATTGCTCCTTGAAACTAGATATTCTTAATCTCCACCACTTGTCGCCGTGTTGGGACACAGTCAGTGACCTATGTCCACGCTGGCTAACTCAGGGGACCAAGAGAGTGGTTTGCTCCCCTCTGCCTCACACCTGTAGTGTGCAACAGGTTACTCAGAACCACCACTTTGTCCCTTTGACACCTGTGTTTAATGGAGTCAGCTTCCTTGGGAGCCTGTGAATGAGAACACAAACACATTTTTTGATACAATTAGAAGATGTTGTTAGAAAAGTGCAGCAAACCAGGTATCTCAGAAGAATGCACATGATTGAATCATTGCTATGCCATAGTTTGGTGGGGGTCCAACTATCCTGACTAATTATTTTAGTATATCCGATCTTGGAGATTAGAGTTTCAAATAATTCAATTCATTCGACTACTTATTTGACTTGGAAGTCGGGTTTGTAGTATAAATATTTAAGGCAGCAAGATAACCTGAATTTTAATTTTTTTCCCTTTAGGATCATCTCTGTAGAACTGCCAGATGACGCGAGACAGTTTGGAATCCAGTTCAGATGGTGGCAGCCCTACCACTCCTCCCAAGGAGAAGACGTGTGGGCTATCGACGAGATTGTCATGGCCTCTGTCCTGTTCGACAGCATCAGTCTCGACTTTACCAATCTGGTGGAGGTCACTCAGTCTCTGGGATTCTACCTTGGGAACGTTCAGCCGTACTGCGGTCATGACTGGACACTTTGGTAAGGATCATTGTTACCATTTGCATGAGTAAGCAGAGTGCATAGATAAACTTTGAGTCCGTTCTGCGCTTAGTCTGTTCAAAAATACGGATGGAACGTGGTACCTTAAAAAATTGGTACTGGGACTGGAGAGGTGGCTCAGAGGTTAAGAGCGCTGTCTGCTCTTTCAGAGGTCATGAGTTCAGTTCCCAGCACCCGCATGGCAACACGGAACCATCTATAGTGATATCTGATGCCCTCTTCTGGAATGCAGGTATACATGTAGACAGAACACACGAATACATTAGTGATTGGCTTGTTAAAATTTCATACAAGGAGTTTTGTTTTCATGCTGTCCTGTGTAAAGTTCAAGAAGCTTGGCATGCCTGATTAACTTACATGTTCCTTTAATCCCTTTTATCAAACAGTATTGGCTTATCTAGTTAATGACATTGGTGGATGCTCAATATTGGGGGAATCATAATTAAGATAGTCATTATTTTTGGATTCTCCTTCTGATGGTCACTTAACAGATTTAATTATATAAACAAACAGTAAGTGAATAGTTTTTTTAATATTTATTTATTTATTATGCATACAGTATTCTGTCTCTCTCTCTGTGTGTGTGTGTGTGTGTGTGTGTGTGTGTGTGTGTGTGTGTGTCTGCAGGCCAGAAGAGGGCACCAGACCCCATTACAAATGGTTGTGAGCCCACATGTGGTTGCTGGGAATTGAACTCAGGACCTTTGGAAGAGCAGGCAATGCTCTTAACCTCTGAGCCATCTCTCCAGCTCCCTAAGTGAATAGTTTTAAGTGTAATTCGTACTTCATTAACGCCACTAAGGATGGTCCAGTGGTAACTAAGAAGTATAAGGAGCTAGTGATTTAGCAGGGAAGCCCCACTGGCCCTGAGAAGAGGCTGCCTTAGAGCCTGCTGAATCCTGGCCCTTGAGAGCGAGGAGCATGGGGATCAAGTTCAGGACCATCTTCAGCTGTGTACAACGGGTTCTGGGCCAGCCTAGGCTGCTTGCATAAGATGGGGCAAGGGCTTCAGAGACAGTTTTCCTTTGAGAATCCGAGAAGGTGGACATGATGTGTCTCACTGACTGGCAAGTGGAAAAACAAGGAAATCCCAGCCGTGTGGAAATCCACAGGAAGAGAAATCCGGCTACGGGTCATTCTGTGGAAAAAGGATGCCGAGATAAGAATGAATGACTGAGGCGTGTTCAAGGATCCGAAGGGAGGGCGGCGGCGGTGGAACCCACATGTTGAGAAGATAAACATGTGTCAAGAGCGGAAGCCGAGATATGTTCAGAGACATTACAGTGTCTTCTAGATCCAAGAGATTTCCAGATTAAGACTTGTGTCTAAATGATCCCACAGCCTTCACTATTATCCCCACTGCCCTTTCTAGGTTCCTTTTAAACTGTAAGCATGAGCAAGGAACAACTTCCTAAGAGACTTTTAATTTCTATTGAGTCATGATCAGGCCCATTTAATTTCCTCCAGATGAGTCATGCTGAAAGCTAATCATTGCTGTTGCCTCTAGAGAGCGTACCGTAAGTGACCCATCAGGAACCTTATCCTAATTAGAGGTAAGTTTTACGCGCCATTGCACCGAGAATTGCCTTTGATTGGGGCTGCGCGTATGCAGTCACATCTCACCCAGTGGGCTGAAATTCTAGCATGAAAATGACAGCTAATGGAAAGGAAGTACAGCTGGTCACTTTTGCTCCAAGCGTGTCAGACTAGACACAACGAAATGTGTGCTCATACAGCTAGAGACTGTTCAACCACCTTCCAGTTGATAGCCTCGGATGCTTGTGTGGTATGTGTGTGTGTGTGTGTGTGTGTCCGTCTGTCTGTCTGTCTGTCTGTCTGTCTGTGTCATTCCCAAGCCTATAGCTCCAAAAACTCAAATAAGATAAAAGAGAAAGAGAGGAAGATAGGAGATACAGACTAAAATGAGATTTATTAGAAGTTGACGCTGCTGAAGTTTGTTTGAGTGGCCTGAACTAAGAGTGATTCCAATTAGTCATGTACCATAAACCATATCTCCCAACATTGTGTAGTAAGATTTTTTTCAGCACTTAGCTGTAACAAAGAGTTGTATCAAGAATGCAAGTCCTGTATCTTGTTTATTTTCATAAAAAGTTAACATCTGCTCAGATAAACTCCAGAGCTGCTGAGCGTTTAAACTTAACGTTTGAGTTGAATGCAAGAAAACTGCATTTTAATGTTTGGGCTTTGAACAGATCCTGTGAACAATATCCTTTCACACAAGCCTGATGAATATTCTCAACCCACCACAGCCTTCATTTGTGGAGATTCATTTACTTTATGAAAATACAATCACAGTAATTCTAGAAAACCAGAAGAAAATACAAATAATTGTGCTCGCCCAGTGGGCACCCTGAGCAGCCCTGTAGGAGTTTTATTAACCGCAGCTTGTGAGCAATCAACTTGACTTTCTGCTGTTCTCTCAAACAAACCGGAGTTGTCTTTGTTGTGAGACATCAGAGGAGACACTGTCAGTGGTAATGAGACCGGAAAAACACATTAACAATTTTTAAAAAGACATGAAAAAAAATGCTTACTGCTCATTAAATTGAAGCAACATGGACGCTCTCAAACTGCTCTCATTTTCCTAGTCAGTGAGTCAAAATAAAACTCTTTTTAATGACACTGTTTCTCTGTTCTGCTATGGAGGAAGACATTGTCTCAAATTGGATGCAAACTTGTTTGGCAGTGTTTTTCAGAAGCACTTGCTACAATATAGAAATTAGAGAGATGATATTGCAAACAATGTATCATTCCCCCCCACTCGCCAGTCCTTAACAGGAACAGTCATTTTTTTTCATGTAGCATCTTGGCAACGTGTTATCTTATTAAGTAAAAATTCTTTAAATGTATTTGAAAGCATGGCCTCTACCCTGTGATGACCTTGTTCCTCTCCGGGGAAATGTAGACATGGTTTGCACTGAAAGGCTGGTGTTAAATTAATGGTTGTTGGCTCTTCCCAGCTGTGTGTTCATTTAGTTCTCATTTCAGACCCGTGACTGTCCATGAGCGTGGGTTGTTGTTACCAAGGCGGTTCTCCAGGGAAAGCTTGGACAATCGCTTTTTCATTAGAACTATAGTTAATATGCTGTGAATCACTTAGCGGACGCCATTCTAAAGTCCTTTTTTTTTCCAGTAGGGAAAGAAATTGCTTCTGACTCTTGGCAGTGCTTTCCTTCTATTCATTAAATCTGTATCCGCTTTAGCCTTTTAAAATAATTTTGAAATATCTTATAAATGTAATGATATATATTATTTGGGGTTTTTTTTGATAAATAAATCTTCCCTGAAGACCAGAGGCAAAGCTAAAGACAGAAGAGGTCAGGCTGGGTGGCACACACCTTTAATCCCAGGATTTTGGAGACAGAGGCAGTGGGATCTCTGTGAGTTCAGGGCCACCCTGGGCTACACAAGAGCAATGCAAAAACAGATCCAGGTGGTGGTGGCTCACCTTTAATCCCAGTACAAAGGAGTCACACCCTGAATCCCAGTCCTAGAGGGAATATAAAATGAGAGGAGAGAGATGCTTAGTCTGCTTAGAATGCAGTCAGCCAGCCTTGGTAAAGGTAAGATGTCTCTAGTGGCTTCGCTATTTTGCTTTTCTGGGTTGAACCTCAATTTCTGTCCCTGGGTTTTTATTGTTCATGCTACATATAAATATTTTTTTAAAAAGTTTTCAGTTGAAATAGAATCACATCACATTTACTCTTCCCTATCTTCCTCCCAGGCCCTCCAGTTACCCTCTCTCAAACCCTTCTCGGAGCCCTGCTGAAGTTGATAACTTCTTTTTCTTTTATTATTATTGTTACTTACATATATTGAATGCATATATATGTATGTGTGTGTATACAAATATATAAATATAAGCTGCTGGGTCCGTTTTATTAAATATATATATTTAATAAAATAATTATATATTATATAATTTAATATAGTGTGTGTGTGTGTGCGTGTGTGTATGTGTGTGTGTGTGTGTGCGTGTGTGTGTGCGTGTGTGTGTGCGTGTGTGCGTGTGTGCGTGTGTGTGTGTGTGTGTGTGTGCGTGTGTGTGTGTGTGTGTGTACGTGCAGCTTCAGGGCTGACTACTCTGCACTGAACAACCAGTAAAGGGGTTAAAGGGGGTTCGTGCCTGGAAAGGCTAACTCTCCTTCTCCCAGGAGTCACGGGTTACCTGGAGTTTTTGTTTAGGGGACCCCATGAAAATCCCCCCTACATTAGCATTTCCATTAATAATGCCATTGTTCTGGCCCTGCTTATGTAGACATTCCCAGGGGAGACGGTGTGTTTTGGCTCTGGTGATCTTTCCGTCCTCTCCTCTGTGACGTCTCCCGGGGTCACAGATACGGGAGCCATAGATGTATCTGTTGGAGCTGGGCTCCTCATGCGCTGTGGATTCTGCACTGTGTGTCCTTGTGGCTCTCTGGGATAGTCTCTGTTTTTATGGCAGCTTCTTTGGTGAGAGGTGTGTGCGCCACTTGCCTGTGGTGTGAGGATAAGATGTCGACTTTGAATGTAGTAAGGAATCATTCCGGTCTAGCAAAGTGATGGTTGTAGAATCTTTCCTAAAGTCCATGACAGCATTGCCCCAAAGCTGGCTAGGTTCCTAGTCCCTGGTACGATTTCCCTCCTGTTGAATGGGTGTTACGTCCAGCTAGACAGCTGTTGGTTGCCGCTGACGTTCGACTAGCACTTACTGCACATTTATGTCGCTCTTGCCATCTGGTCTGATCTGTTTCTGTGGTCCTTAGGTGTTGCAGCTGGGCAGAACAGTTTCCAACTTGAATAATGCTTTTCAGAAGCATGGGAGTCAGACCACTGGTCGGAACTCCCTCCCTGCCATCCCATTTCCCACTTCTTATCACCGGCTCCCTAGCACTCTCATCCTAAGAGGCCCTGACAACAGCACACCTGCAGGACAAAGATGGAGAAACTACTGTGATGGGTGATGATTAAAGCAAAGA